GGAAAGTCAGGTCTCCGACTTCACTCCCGACCAGGTGGGGCCGACTCTGGAGCTGGCGGGTGGAGAAGAGACGCTGTCCGGTCGAGCCGAAACTGACGAGCTGGTGCTCGACAGACAGTCGCACAATGTACTGCCGGAGTTCAGTGAGGCCAGACTCAGTAGTATCGGTGCCAGTAGTATGCCGGGCAGGGGTGGAAGTGAGCTGAACGCGTTTTCGCGATTTGGTCCTGTCGTCAGGGCGACTCAGTTGGACCTCGGCATCATATGTCGCAGCGTCGAAGTGTCGACATGGTACATTCTGTGACGTTTCGACGACATCTTCAGTCAATCTTGTCATTCTCACCACCAAATGACAACTAGTCAAAGAGACAAGTCTGAGGATGTACCAAGTCGACAGTCCGACGCTGGGGTTTATGCTAACTACTATAACTTCGGACAACCTGCGTCCAACCAGTCGACATGACAACAGACTAATTTGCCAAAACGAGGTCAGTCCACTTCTATTCATCGAACGGAGACTGCGATCATACCAAAGGTCACACCATTTTGTTCTTTATATCTTCAATTTGACTTTGGGATAGTCACCGAGAGTTGGCTGAATGGGATTCGTGGATAGACGAGGATTGCCGCGAACGATTTTGCTTTTACACAAAAGTCTCCGTCACCGATCCATCAGTGCTGGGTTTACGTTCATTCCACCCGAACGGGCGTCGTCAGAGCAAAAAGGCCTCATTCGTGGAGAAGGCATGAATGCGATAAACGCTAGAAAATATCGAAGTTGGTTGACCTCGCTGTCGTAACTTGGTCTTGTCGTCACGGCGACTTAATAGAACGCACCTGGTGCAAAGTCGTCTACTAAGTCGCCCTGACAACAAGACCAAGTGGCGAAAACGTGGTCAACCCACTTCTATAAATCGCAAGTAGACTGCGACCATACCAATGGTCACACCCTTTTCTTCTTCATATCTCCAATTTGACTTTGGAATAGTCACCGCGACTCGACATTTCAACTCTACCGAGAATTGGCTGATTGGGATTCGTGGATTGTTCTTATCGAAAAATAGACGAGGATTGCCGCGGACGATTTGGATTTTACACAAAAGTCTCCGTCACCGACCCATCCGTGCTGGGCTTAAGTTCGTTCCGCCCGAACGAGCCTCATTCGTGGAGAAGGCATCAATGCGCTAAACGCTAGGAGATAACAAAGTTGATCGTAACTTGATCTTGTCGTCAGAGCGACTTAATAGAACGCACCTGGTGCAAAGTCGTCCACTAAGTCGCCCTGACAACGAGGTCAACCCACTTCTATAAATCGAAACGAGACTGCGACCCTTCCGGAAGCCACACCATCTTGGTCGTCATATCTTTAATTAAACTAACAAATATCGCCCATACAAGAAGGGCGTCTGCTTGCAGCTAACACCTTGTCGTGTGTTTAGTGTATTGGTGTGTTTCTATCAGATACTCGAGTTTCGCTTGAATGATGTCTGCCGCGGCGATTAGTCAGAACAATGAGCTCGGTACTTATTCAGACGACCGAACACCCTTCACTTTCGTTTTCCGGTGAGACCAATTGACATTAATTTGCTAGGCAATTCTTGAGAATCCGTTTTTTTCCACATATTTGAGGCCCAGACTGGGTTCTCCGGGGGGGCATTGCTTTCGATACAACTGAAGAAGACGGTGATCCGACCAAAGGCCAGGCCGTCTCCAGGAGTTCACTAATCACCGGAACCAAATGATGACTAAGAGGGCGAAGACCAGGCGAACCAGAAATTGGTAGACCAGGAGACAGTGGTTCTTGCATAATGTACCTCAGACGCCTGGTGAGTAGTCGTAATATTATTAGTATTATTGGCAGTTTTTGTAGTAGTTGTAGGAAAAGAAGGCGGAATAGTAGTAGTAGTTGTAGTTGTAGTATCACCAATAATAGTAATATTAATTGTGGTGGTGGCGATAGTAATAATAGTAATACTAATAGTATTATTATTATTATTATTATTAGTGGCAGTGGTAGTTGTATTAGTGGTAGTGGGTGTGGGTGTGGGTGTGAAATTTGTAGTAGCTATCCTAGTTGTAATAGTAGTATTAGGTATCACATGAAAGGCCACACTGCCTGTGTATTTATTCACACAATCAAGGCAGGCTGTATTTCACATATACTCTTAATGTGTGGCTTGACTAGTGTGGTGGGTTCGTTAATTTTTCTCGTCAGGCGTCAGCAGTTGCGCCAAATCTATGCATCGTGTGAGAAAAGTGACGTATGATTTGTGCACTTCTTCATGCAGCATTATGGGTTTTTTTTCGTTTCTCGGCCAACACGACATCTGGCTTGACTGGTCACGGCAGACTTTAACGACATGGTCAATGAGGCGATGGCCGATAAGCTGTTCGGCGACTTGTCCACTGAGCGGGAAGAGGTGGGAGCGACTATGCGGTCGCTGGCGAAAGAGCCCTCGGAGGAGCAGATGCCTCAAGAGCCGGTGCACACGCCGTCCGTCTTCCTTCCGACGCCGCCTCTGCCACCGACACCGACCTTGCGGAAGTCAATTGCCAAACGCGGCACGAGTTTGGCGAAGAGATCCAGTCTGACGGCCGGAGCAGCAAACCAGCGACGTCGCAACAAGCGGACTCGCTCTGACCGACCGACGGCAAAACGTCGCAATCCGACAGACGCAACCGCAGCCGTCCGTGGCGCAGAAACGGTCGACGATATCGGCCCAAACGGTCCTGGCCCGACGATGTTGATTTTGAGGCAGTCTCGACAGTCGCAGTCCAGTCAAGGCGAAAGGAAGGTGGGTTGGAATATTGAGTTGCGCTGTTTGCGAGAATCATAAGCTTTTCTGTAAGTCAGTAAGTAAATCAGTAATATGAGATGTATTCACCAAATTTCGTTTCAGTTGATGAAGGGTTGATAGTTGCATTTTCCCACATTGATATGAGTAGAGTCTTGCTTTGTCATGGTTCGACACGCGCTAGGCGTGTTGATAAGATCCAGACGAGGTCGAAACTGCAGTCCACCCTTGATGGGAGCATCTTTTGGGAAATCAAAGCTATGTGAACTTCAATGTAAAACATCAGGTCTTCTCATATAATTGTGGGAAAATTCAACTACCAGTCCTTCATAAGCTCAAACGAAATTGGATGAACACAATTCACATCTCTGATTTACTCACGTAAAAGATAGCACATATTACTTTGCTTTATTGACAATCCCACCACAGAATGTGATGTGAGAAAATGCCTGGCTTTCCTTGAGATTCACATGCGCCCTCTGACACAAAACCACTCACAGCAATGTGGCCTGGTTCGAGTCCCGCCAGAGGTGCTGCTAAGGCCTAGACAGGGTCTAAATTGCAGTCAACTCCAGCCGGGATGAGAACACCTTTTGCGGAAGCAGGGATATGCGAAATTCAATAGAAACCTCTTGTCTGCTCATATGATTGTGGCAAGACTCTGCCACCAGTCCTTTTTGATCTTAAAGGAAATAGTGCTTTCTGTGGTTTCACTCAACTTCTACTCGAATATATCAGCCAGCCGTATCGCATAACAAGCCTATCTCGCTATGCCATAAATCACAGAAAATCGGAGGGTATACTGCATTTAGCTGAGGTATAAAATATGCTGATAAATAAAGTGAATTCACCCTATTCCCTTTAAGGCGATAAGGGGATTGGTAGTTGAATTGTTCCCAAAATGACATGAGCACATTTTACATCCTTGTTGGATTACGCATAATCTTGCTTTGCCAAAAAATATTCTCATTCTGGGTGGACCGCAGTTTCGACCTCGCCTAGGTCTCGTCGAAATCGGAAAGTGCAGCGTCAACCACTACGCCACATTGCCACGAGTGTCCTTGGGTCACAGGGCAGAGGATAAGGCATTTTCCCATGTCACATTATGTGGCGGAAATGTCAAATTGTATCTGCTGTAGCCATCGATAATGTTACTTATGTTTCGTTTCTAAGTAGGTTTTTGAATAAAAATCCCCTCATCACCTTAAAAGAAATAGGGTGAATATACTGCATATTTAATTGCTCTACTGGTAGTCTCGAAATACTACTTATAAACTAAAAATAATTAATGTCGTTTATTGCGATGGCAAATATAACTTTGCTTCATTGACAATCGCGCCACAGAATGTGATATCAAAAAATGTCTGGCCTTCTTTGAGAAGCTCATCTATCCTGTGATCCAAAGGGACTCGTGGCAATATGGCGTAGTGGTTAGTGCTGCACTGACATGGCTCGAGTCCCACTAGGTGCGAAACTGGCTTCCCCTATAGGCTGGATGAGATGAACGTTTTTGCAAATTCAATGAAAATTTAAGGTCTACTCATATCGTTGTGGGAAAAATTCAACTAACAGGTTGAATACTCTTCATACATAAATGTTATGCTGGTAGTCTCGAAAAGCGCTTAGAAAGTATATATAAGAATCTTTTTAGACTATAACTAGTTCTTGATTAGGAACATAGTCATCCTCGGTCAATTGATGTTGTTTAAGGCCCTTTCAAAATGTTATTAGTAAGCCTTGAATAAGATATTAGCCTAACAACTGTGTTCGCCCTATTTCGCTCAAAGTGAGTAGGTATTCTATGTAAAATCTAATGGAAATATGAGGCCTACTTACAAGATTGTGGCAAAATTCAACTACCATTCCCTAAT